TAATCATTTAAACTCTAAATTAGTTTGTTCTCAAGTGGAAAAACAAGATTTATGTAAGTTATGGTACAATGTATTACTTCCTGATAACACTTGGTAGTGATGCAATGTGTGTGTGTGTGTGTGTGTGTGTGAGAGTTATAGATCACCTGTCGTGTTTTTTGCAGGATTTCTTCCAGGTATCTTTGTGTCCCTGAAAACACTCGGCTCCTAAAAGGAGTTATAGATTAACTATAAGTCACACAGAAACACGAACACCCTCAGTGTCTTGTCCCTTTCATACAGTTCTTCAAACATGTGATCCATCAAAAGGTTCTCGACCTGGACTCATTAGTTATTGATCACGTCGTCACCACGTCGTTATTGATTTATAAAGCACAATACTGCTCGACCCCACAGCCGCTTGTCCCCTGAATAAGCAGGCACAGAGACCGCAATGCAAGCGGCATATTGCTGTTTAAAATAAGCCCTAACACCGGGATAGATGATAATCTCCTGGCTGACCGGAGAGTGACAGCTAAAGGCTTAACGCTCATTGATTAGGCTCCGTGACATGTGGCAGTACGTCTCTTTGCTGCCTGAGTCGGAGAGCGGACTGTACGCTTTGCCTCCTCGCTGAAGGCTGGATGTGAAGGTTGTAGAGGAGCAGCAGGGGAGCAGAAGCAGGTCTTACTGTTTAAGAGAATCGTGGGTAAACGAGCAGGGACAGACTGACGGTGGATTGGACGTCTCCTCACCAGATGGTCGAGGACTAGGAGGCCATCTGCTGTCGTGCTGTGCTCCTGCGGAGACTTCCTCACTTCCCTTTTCTCCAGGCTCTCAGATTTAAGTTGGGTTCTGCATCCGACGTGCTCGGTGTGACGGAGGAGGACCTGCTGCGGTTGCTGGTTTGAATCTGGCTCTGTTGCAGTTACAGTTGCCAAAACATTGGTTTAATAATGAAGGTCACATTGGATGATGGCAGTTAAAACAGCGATAAAATAACTGGATTAAACAAGTCATTGAACAATATGAAGTATACAGTGTAATACCAATGTAGAAGATGTCCAATAACAATTTAAATACTTTAAAGTAGCAATAATGTTTTAGAGTAATTGTTCGGTCCAGTTGTATGAAAGGAGCTAAATATGTTAAAGACATTTCTGGTACACAAAAGTTATGTTTTCCTCTTATTTTATTTGCCTTTTCTTGTGAACTACTGCACATTTAGCCTCTTTAAGTCTCTAAAATCCTTAAAATAAATCAACCTGAGAAGGAAAAAATGCTTTTCAGTTAAACATCTTGCTACAAATAGACGCTGGAGAAGCAGCAACAAAAACATCGTGGATACATTTTTCTTTTCCGCCACTGATTCGTCGATTAATCGCTTGACTCCCTGGTGTTTAAGAGGTTTGTTGTAAACTATCAAATGAAGCTGAAAGGCCTTTTAAAAGCAAACATTTTGAATACCAGCAGTGAAACAGTAAGTAAGTAAAGTGCTCAGTGTTCAGTGTTTCTCTCACTCAGCAGGGATCTTACAGCCCAGGTTATCACATGCCACAGTATCTGCAAACTCCGCCTTCTTCGACCTCCTGACATCATTAGTAGAGCAGCGTGTTTATTGCGATAAAAGCCCAGGTGGTGTTGTAGTGATGATCCCACAGAGCTTTCCTCTCCTTTTCCTGCCTACTTTGCTCATTCGCTCAGACAAAACACGGCTCTCACTAATAAGGCAGCTCTGCTCTCCGGCGGCCTCGCAGCTGGAAATGACGGAGAGCCTTCGACGTATGAACAGGATTACACTTCACGTTATTAAATTCATTTTCTTCTGTTCTGCCGCTTTGGTCGTTTTCTTCTTTTCACATTGCCAGTCACCAGATCTGCACACCTTCTAACATAGATGTGGGTTTCTCATATTCCCTCTCTGACAGATTTGGGAGGAGATCTTAGTGTGCCGGCAGAGAAAGTGAGGAGGGATAAGTGTCTGCGTTCTGTAGGTATTTGACTTAATGCAGCTTTTGTCACTAAAGGTCTTCGAACAACTACACAAATGCAGATTTCTTGTCTTCATCAGACCGCTCGGGTCCGAGCCACATTTTATCCTGCTGGTAATCTGCAGATCTCAAGTGATTTGATCGAGTGTTGAGTGAACAGCACTTGAAGCAGTGGAGTAATGTAACGTGTTCACTGCCTGTACATATTATCTGCGTTTCACTGGAAAAGTCTTCAGGTTTGTGTTTTTTCTCTGGTGGATTCAAAGAGGGGCGACGTATTTCCAAACAGCCCAATGACAGTATTCATATTGTTGTGCCTGTGGGTCTTCACCCAATAGCAGCTGGAAGTACAGTTAGTTTACTCGTCCTCGGCTCATTTCACACTCCAAACGTGGTGTAAAACCCAGACGTTGTGTGTTGATGCTGTCTCTCTGCTGACCCGTTTAGTGGGACACTTGACGCCTCCGTAACAATACTGCCAGTTAAGAAGAAGCCCACACTCATTTTCACTGCGGCAAGTTATCAACGTATCATGTACAAGGAACAAAAGTAATCAAATGTGTTCGTATTTGAGCATGATTGTCAGATTAAACCCTTACACTCACATATATATATTTATCTATACATATGTACTGCCTCCCATGTGTGTTGTGTTTTCTGGAGCTGGTAAAGTGACGTTACGTTCACTCTCGGTTGGAACGTGAAGAATGTTGCAGTGCTCGTATCCGAAGCTGCTGAGACTGCTGATTCTTGCTTAACCGGCTACAAAGCCTGTTCGAGTTTTGACATTTAACCGTTTGACCTCCCGGATCGCTGGTCTGATGTCTAAACAGCTGACATGTGTCTCTTTCACTTGGACAGAGAGGTGGATGTCTGTGATTGATGGGGAATGAGCCTGGAGCGGATTCTTAAACTCAGGAATCTGGACGAGGCTGTTTTTCTCACTCACAAAAAACACACCTGAGTCCTACAGGTGTAGCGGTACACAAATGCAACGTGACTGCACCCCCTCGCATTGAAATCACCACCTGAAGTCACAGTCAGAGATATAAGCTGCCGCCTGCCGTCATTCACACTTCCTCTCAGGACACGGTGTCATCCTGCATCATCTTAAAATTTCGTCTTTGAGCGGCGGGATTATCCTTCTCTCAGCAAACTTCACTTAAACTCTGGAGAATGCCGTGTTTAGGTAAATCCTGGGTAGTGATCAAACTAACGTTGGAAAGGATTTAAGAGAATAGGCAGAGCAGAGCTTAGTCGTGCATCACTCACAATATTGCTGCTCCGTGTTCCTCGGAGATAAAGTGCAGTTATTTTGCACTGCAACACTTTCCCTCGTCAGAATTCAAATCTCAGTCGCTGTGTGTCTGAGTTAGTGCGATTATAGATTCATTGAATGTAAAGGAATCACATTTATCCATACAACAGTTTTTTACTTAATCCTGACTGAGGTAGGGCGATCTGGTTGTCGGCTCATTCCTTCGTTCTTCATTTATTCTTTTGCCAGTACACGACACGACTGCTGCACCATCGGTGTGGACGGGCCTGAGGTGGGTGTGTAGGTGGAGGTAGGCACAGACTCACTCAAACCACAGAAACACACACACACACACCTGTAAATTATTTAAAGCACCAGATGGGGACAGAGCAGCCGACAGTCTGCGGGAGAAAGAATTCCTTCGTCATAAAGCCCCAAATGTTGTCGTCTTTATTTATTTATTTTTATCCAGTAGAATCAATCAACCTAATGCGTTTTATCTCGGAAAAGCAGATCACCAACGGTTGTGTGAGTGCATCCATGTGTTCAGCAGTGGCCTTTCACTTCTCTTCCCCTGCCAGTGTGAGCGCTCCAGACACTGCAAAGGTCAGCGTGTGTGTGTGTGTGTG